TTATTTTGAAGAAAAAAAAATATTAGACCATTAAATATTGGGCTGAGTTGGGAGGTATGCATACGTGTGAGACTTTGATGCAGTAGTGCATCAGGTCAGATCATCACAAGTTACATAGTGGTGTATCAGGTCAAAATATCATTGGTTGGAACATCCGGTGTGGAAAAAAGTGAGGTAGAATGCCATATCCTTTATTCATCAAATTTAGGACAGCAGAAATATCTCTTTAGTCTCATTTTATGCATAATTGTTCAGAAGTAAGGCTTGGTACATTTTAGGGACTGCAGAAAATCTTATTCCCAAGTGTGCTGCTTCTTCATAGCCATAAGCTGCAGAGATGTCCCTGAATAAAAAGAGGCTGGACAGCCATTTGTTTGAAATGATATAGGATTTCCTGCCTGAGCCGGGGGTTGGACTAGATGACCTCCAAGGTCCCTTCCAACATCATCATCAAATCATTGGGGTTAATCATTATTTAATCATCTGCCATGATCCCAATACCTATCTATGGTAGGTTATTCATATACAGGCTGATCTTGCAAGCTGGTAAACATTCACTTTGGGAATTTAGCACAATGCCCAGTCTATTTCCTGACTGATTTGTACTTCAGCTGCAGGACCTATGGTCTGGAGGAGAGGAAGAAGTGGAAGGAAGGGAAAGAAATGAGGTGGGTAACTGTGCATATTTATGTGAATGTGTGCAAGACAGGAAAAGGGAAAAGGATTGTGCTAAAGCATCCCAACCATTCATTTGATATAGCTAGATGTAGATGTAGAAAATATGTAGAAAAACCAAGCAAAATGAATGCACTTTTAAATGATCATCCTGTACACATGCGTGTAAGAGAGAATGTGTTTGTATGCGATATATCTAGTGTGATTCTCCATACTGGGAGTACGGAAAACTAGGTTTAGCACTTCATATTTCACTCAAAATACCTCTTTCCTTCTTCCTAGAATGGTCTGCAATTAGCAGATGAGTCTCCTTCAAGTTTTAGCAAAACAGTTGCATGTCAGGATGGAAAGAAACAAATAGACTTTGAAAAAGGATATTCCAACCAAAGCTGGTTGTTGATTCTATATAGGTGCCGATAGTTTGCATTGATCACAGATCAGAAATAATTCAAACTTGCAAATACAGTTTTCTTTAAGTCAAATGTGATCTTCTGGTTCAGGGGTGTCAAACTCGCAATGTCACATGACGTGTCGTGACATATCATGACTTTTTTTTGCCATTGCCGTCAATGGGATGGGCGCAGTTTTGCTATGATGCATCTGGCCCGTGGGCCAGCAGATTGACACCCCTGTTCTGGTTGATATTTTTTTTAAGTGAATTTCACTGGGCAAACCTTCTCAGTCTAATGGTCCACTGGTTAAATGTCTCCTATATACAAACTTGTATCTGTGAAAATCAGAGCAAGAATTGATTATGGCAAACCCACCAGTTTAGCCTTCTAGATTTTCTTTCTCATCTTCAATCCCAGCCCCAGACCACATTTGAGAGAGTAATTGGTAAATAATATTCCTGCTAATAGATAATGCTAGATGGGAGGGAAAGTGAAATTGAATGAATATCCCAATTGTTGCTCTTAAATTGTCCAACATAAAACTTTTAAAGACATCACCACTCAGCAAAACCAAATAAGGGCAATTTATGCTGGCACTGCCCAAAATAAATATTGGAGGGAAAGACGTAATAGGGCTGTGAAGAAAAGCTCAGTGAAAGAAGATTCACGTGTTTGAACCAGCATTAAATTATTTAAGCCCATTTAAACCCCCTATCAGTAATTTAGAAGTTTATTCAATGGGAACGTAATCTCAAGAAAACATGAATCATAGATCTGAATTGTTTCCACCTGAAGCTCAGCAGGCCAGATGATGTAATGGGATAAAGCTTCTCCTTTATGCATTGTTACTAACAGCCTTACTGCTTCAAAATATTAAGAGTCGGTAGCACCCTTAAATCCATGCAGGTTTGTAATTAATTGCAGGATCTATTCTAAGAGTTAGATTGGGTATTTGAAGGGTAATTACATTACCTTTTTTAAAGCAGGAACTAAAAATACTCCCTGCACTTTCTGAACTTTTGCTGACTTCTTAAATTTTCTGCCACTGTTTCTCAAATGTAATCACCTCATTTATGGAATTTTGAAACAAAGCCAAGAAGCACTAAAAACATGACAATACTTTCATTTCAACTTACCTACCAGGCGTATTGATAATATCATTAATTTGTTTTAATGATCAGTTGTCTCCCATGAATAATATAAAAATGAGTTTATTACAATTTTGCCTAAACAAAACTGAAAGATGCTCAGAACTTCTTAAAAAAAATCTTGCTTATTTATCAGAGCGTTACACTAGTGATGCTAATTATGGTAATATAAGCATGAAATTGTATTTTACATAGGCCCATTGTAGGCAGGAAAACAATATTTCTAGATAATATCCGACTCTTTATTAAATCACACTGTGGTCTGTCTATCTGCTGATTTTTTTATTCAATCAATTGACCTGTAACTCAGGACAGCATATGCAAATAAATCCATACACAATGAAACAATATGAGAAAACATTCGAAAGTAACAAAACAAGGAAATTTATCAAAAAATAATTCAAAAACAATAATGGAAGGCACCAAAACTCTGAATCCAGTGTCTGGCAGAGAAACCAGGTCTTAAGAGCCCTTTCAAAAGGCAGGTAGTGTCAGGGCTAACCTGAATGTCAGGTATAACTTCTAGGTCTTGCCAGATGACACTGCTTAAGTGACAGTTTCTGGAGCATGTCCACTCTGTTAAATTTTATCTGATGGACAGAAGTAATTGCAGACAAGTAATCTCACAGATAAGCAGGCCCTGTGCCATAAAAAAGCTTTAAAAAGCTAGCTTTCACAGCTAGCTCTTGAAAATCTATCTGGAAGCATATGGACAACCATACAGCTTGGAAAATAGCAGTGTCACATGGGCATTCTGAGGTATGCTTATAACCCTTTGTGTCACTGCATTGCAGATGAGCTGTCCATTTCCAAGGGGTATTCAGGGACAGCTTTGTGTAGAGAAAGTTGTAGTCATCCAGACGGGCAGTCACTAAGACACAAGTGACTGTGGGAAGGGTTTCCCAGTCCAAGAAATTGTAATTTTCAGCTGTAAGTTGTGATGGTTGTAAAGCAGATCGCCACATGTCCATGCCAGATTTTATGACCTTTTTTGAGGAAGTTGTTAAGCAAATGTACCAGTCGTTAAGCACTCATGGCGGTCATAAAGGGAACATTAAGCAAACCACTAGTGGGCAGTTTTTGCTGGAAGTAAATGCCAATGGCAAAAGTATCATAAATTGCAGTCATGTGACTGTGGGCTGCTGCAGATGGCATAAATATAGGCCAGAATGTGGTCACATGATCACAGTGGGTTTCTCTGTGTGTGTGGACATTAGAACTTTAAACCTGGATTGCAACTCCCTTTTTGGGGTCCAATCATAACTTTGAACAGTCATTTAAAAGGCATAAGTTGAAAACTACCTGTATCCCAGATATTTAAAAAAGGGACCCAGACTTGGGTACTATGTTAGTTACTTCTTTTAAATACAAAGATAGATCCCTCTTCCAAGTTTTCTCTTTCAATTTTGAATACTAAATAGTGCTGCCATGGACTATTTTTCTCTGATGTTTGAGAGAAGTGGATGGCTGAAGATATGCTTCAAAGGAAACGGTTTCATTCAATTGTCTGTTAACTACCAGAGTCAAGTAATACTATGTTAAGAAATGTCTACTGAAATGTTTTACAGGTTTGTTTGCTTTTTGTAAAAAATAAATCATAAGTCAAGTTGTAGGACAAGAAAGAGAAAGAGAATAGATGTGGGCGGGAGAAAATTGCAAAAGACATTCATGATGGGCTCCACATTGTACCACAAACTTTGGTCTGAGACTGTGCCCAGAGGAAGTGTAAGAAGCAAATACTCTGCTCATGTTCAGAGGTGATTTTCTTTTACTTGTATTTTAGGATGTGCACCAAATATTGAAAATTGATTTATAATCTGAGGCATGATGTATTGTGGTATGAATTAACAAAGGCAAGAAAATAAAACAGGGGAGATGGTTTGTTTATAATTAGAAAGGGATGGAGAAAGGGAAGGTTCTGAAATGGAATTTTTGTTTGTGTGAAGAGTTCTTGAAAGGAATGTAAGGAATGGATTGTTTTGTGGAATGGAACAAAATGGACGTTTATTTGTTTTTGGGTTTTTTTTCTGGAAACATACATTTAGATTAATACCTTTTTTCTAGGCCCGGTGGTTTTGGATTTTAAGTTGATGTAATATACTATCCCTTGTTGGCCTGGCTTTTCTAGTCCCTTTTTTAAATTTAGTCTTTCAGATATATAAAATCAATTGTACATATAACCTTTTGCCAATGCTACATTTTCTAAATGTATGTGATTATAAATATGTATATTACACTGCCGGTTCACAAGAGTCCCAGTAAATAATGCAATTCTATTTTATACAGAACATTGTTCTAAAGCAGACATGTCAAACACAAGGCCCGGGGGCTCAATGCAGCCCACGAAGTGGTTTCATGTGGCCCGCGAAGCCATCCTTGAAACAGTGAGGGAACGGCCCCCGCTGCCTTGGCCCTGGCCCAGGCCAGCCGGGAGCCAATGTATAATTTTGTGGTGGCCATCTTGGCACTTGCCCCGGTGGACCATGCCTTGGCACTTGCCCCAGTCCCACCCCCTTCTGCCAGAGACCCTCAGATCTGTCCCACTCCTGCCCAGGCCCCCATAGGCACCCTTGACGCGAATGATGTAGAACTGACCACGCCCACCCAGTAGCCACACCCACTCCATCCACGCCCACCCAGTAGGCTGCATCCACTCTGGCCACACCCACCCGGCCCTCCCCCAGGGCAACAGCAATGGTGATGCGGCCCTCAGTGAAATTGAGTTTGACACCCCTGTTCTAAAGGATTGCAATAATGGGAAAAACATTTTATTTCTCTGTCAACCTACTGTTACTACAAAGCTACTTCTGAGATTCAGGTATACACTTTAATCAGCACCCCCAATATTCAGTCTCTAGATCTTCCATTTGTTTCATTCTTCATCAAACAATAATTGACAAACAGGTCATTTATTTATTGATATTTAATGGAGCTCAACCATAGTGGCCCACATAATGTAGGCTTAAATGTTAAATTATGTACTTAGGGGTCCTTTGTGCTCCCTGAGCTTGGTTGTTTTGTTGCAGGCATTTTATTATCCAACTAAATAACGTCATCAGTGCTTGTTGACTGCATACTGCTGTTATCCTTTTCACAAAAGTATTTTACTTATCTTTATTATAGCAAAACATACCATAGCACATCTTGTACTTTCAATATCTTATCTGACACTTCTGACTTTACACTTTGGAAAAACTGAACTGAAGGAGGACCAGACCCCCATCAGACAGATACTCCACCCACATGCTTATTCTAATAGCCATGCTAGAGGCAAAAGCAACATGTCCATTTCTGACCATTTTCTGGTACAAAGACTATGGGTAGAGATGGAACACCTCCCCTTCTTGCTTTGTTGTTCCAAAGCAAACAAAGCACATAGTGGTGATAAGTGCTAGTCTGTGCCTTGGCAGTGCAGCTGGAGAACAGTTCTTTGTATTCTTCCCAGTTTTGAAGCTGGGGGAAAAGAGAGAGGATCACCTTGCCGTTTGCTGGATGATCTGTATTCATCTCAGACTTCATTGATGATAATAGTACAGTAATTAACTTTGCCAGTGGGTAGCATTGCTTTGGCAGATGTGGAGAGTGGATTTTTTTTTCAAGTTTGGCTCCGGTTATTTTTGATTTAATTTCTTTGATGTTATGTATTATCTAAATATGTATTTATGGGCACATGTATTAGTTTAAATCTATTTAGTTGAGGTCATAATATTCTTCTGAAACATACTTTCAAAATCTCTGCCATATATTTTTGTAGGAAAAGTGCCCTTGGCTTTGCTCCATTGGGTTTTAAATACTTTTATGATCCTCTGCTTGATCTCTTATTACTTTTCCTTTATGTACTGTATGTGTGTTGGGGGGGGTGAGAGGAAGATAGTTTATTAGAAGCAAAACCTCTATACGAAGCACCTTTTCATTACCATCTACTTTTTCAGGTTATAGATTTTCTGCCATGGATTCACTGACTTCTTTGCTCGGTCAGTAATTCCAAAGTTATAATGTGAGCCAATAAATGATGTAAATGCTTTGTAGTACTCGAGTATACTTGACTTGCTTATCCCTTGCCTAATGTTCTGTTACTTGGAGTGATCTGCATGCATGACTTCAGATTGCATTTCAGGTAATATATTGGCCTTGCAATCACCTAGTAGACTTACTTACTAGAGGGAGTTCATTCACTTTTGCACAGAAATATCACCGTTTTCATCTGGGAAACTTTGAAGGCATGTAGGTACTGCTATAATGTCTGTTTTGCCCTGATATGTGGTTCTCCTCTGGGGGTTTTTTCTATCTCCCAATTTATCTTTGTTTGCAAGCAAGTAAGATAACCAAGCAGAAAGAAACTAGGTCATTTTTGTTTTAATTCCTCTTATCCAGTAGAACAGCTAGAGGACTCGAACTTACAGTTAACCTAGGTAAGGAATGAAAGATTAATGAAAATAATCCTATTTCCCTGCAACCTATTGTTGAGTGATTGAAAGCAGTATCGTGGCATTCTTCATCTGGCTAATATATCAATAGTTGGAAATCAGAGAAACCCACTCTTTGCAGCCTTGTAGACTCCCATTCCTCCTTCTCTTAGTTCTGACTGTTATCCTGCCTTATTAGCTATTACCTTGCTGCCAAAAATACACTAAGAGCAAGTCCTCCTCAAGGGAAACATGAAAGTGTTGCCTAAATTAATAGTACGGCATAATGATTAAGGTGTAAAACCCAATTCAGCTGAAGGTCAAATCCGTTCTCAACCAGGCAAAGGCTTAGGACCAGACACACATTCACTCAGCGCAACAAGTTTTATAAGGATGAGTCACTTCTTGTGAGATGGACAGCTATACAAATATGGTAGACAGACATTTGATTTCTACCTACAGCATGAAACAGTATTACTGCAAGAAGTATACCGTGTGGAATTTCAAGATTTTTTTACTTATACAGATGTATCTGTACTTTTGGCACAATTGGAAGATCCTCATTGAAATCTTATTTTGGGAAGATATTTTAGATTTTTTCTTTTTTTTTTTTATTTTTTTGAGAAGGGGCAATGTTTTTACTTCAAAAGAACTATATATTCCTAATAAATCTTGCATTCTCTGTTGGTTTATATAAGTTCAAAGCTGAATCTTATACTGTATGGCTTTTCCTGCCAAGGTGTCTGTTTCTATTAAAATATACAGTGTTTTAATGTATATTTTAAGAAGAAAAATCTGAAACTCAAAGGGATGGTTAATAACTTGTTTTTTTTTCATACTTATATCTACCTCAGTTTTCTGCTGTGTAAGGGATTCTTTTGATCATCAGCTCTAATCCAGATAAGAAAGGAAAATAAATACACCATTGATTTTTCATTATGAAATTGATTATACCTATTTCCTTTTATATCAGCCAGTGAAGACTATGTGTAATTTAGCACTATTCCCATGCATTTTTTTCAGCATGGTGTTTCAACATGAAGACTGTGCAACTACCTGCCATCCTTCAGTTCCCTGAAGAGCTATGCACTTGGTAAAATTAAGGAAAATGATTGTCACACAGTTTCATGAACATTGAGCAATAGGCCCTCCTACATTTGTTTAAATAGGAAACACTTATAGATGTAATTATGAGTGCACAAGAACTGTTACTATTTGTCGATGGTAGAGCAAATTACTAAGACGTAGGGCAAGACCTTTTCATGTATTAGATGAAGCAAAAGGCTTCCGATGGCTCCATCAAAGTAGAAATTGGACATTGATGTCTGAAATGTTCAGCAAGTCATTTTAAAGTATTGTCTTATGATAGGCTCCCATTTGACTTCTGCTTCAGTGTATATAATGACTTGGGACATATTACTTCTGAATATGAACATCTACTCTCTCACACACATATGATTATTTGGAAAAATGTATAGCTAAAGGAAACTGGAAACAGACTAAATCTCTAATTGGTTAGGGTGTGGGAAGTGTGAATAAAAGCTTAAAGGAAAGTCTTTGAAATCTTTGGATTTAGAAGGAGGTGACTTAATAGATATTTAACTTAATTCCATTCTCATGCTGAAGAAGTGACAAATTACACTTTTCTAGATGTGCTGAGTAGAATGTCTCTGGTTTATTAATTCTGAGACATATTCCTTCTTAAGTTGCATTGTTTTCTTTCTGAAAGAGTGATAAAGCTTCTTGTTTTGCAGCTGCTCTGGTTGTTGCCTTGTGACTCCCTTCAAGAATTACTAAAAAAAAAAAAAATACAACAGACTATTTTATAGAATTGAAAAGAGCAACAAAGCCCTTTATAGAATGATCTTGCCAATACCATAAGAATGTATCCATAGGAAGAATGGTATACGGTTGGTACAGAACCATTCAGCTGGCTGGATAATTCCTGAAAGATCATCAGGGGCCATGTGGCACCATCATGTCGTCAAATTCATGACATGCCCTAGTACAACTGTTGGATGACATCCAGTCATAGTATTGTAACATTGCTTCAGGTTCTGCTGATTGCTGTAAGGAATAAAAGGAAGCTTGGGCTTATTCTCTGATAATTTAAAATTTCTGAGGTGGGCCATCTTTGTTCTGCAAAGAATTCTATCAACAGGGGCAAAAAAAAAAAAATCAGTTTGATAGGTAGAAGTTGTTGGTTACTATAACAACAGTAGCATATCTATTTGGGTGCTCACATGTTCCTTGTTCCAGTTTCTAAATATAATCTTAATCTCACATGGTATATCTGGTGCCATGGAAACCAAATGTTCTATAAAGTTGCAAGAAACAACTAAAATTTCAGCTACATGAAAACTAAGGGTGTTGAGGAATGATTTAGACATTACCACAGTGATAAAATTATTCTTCACTTCCCATGTGAGACCCTAAAATATTGGTTGGTTGAGGAGAGAGAGAGAGAAAGGGAGGGACGGAGAGAGAGAGAGAGAGAGAGAGAGAGAGAGAGAGAGAGAGAGAGAGAGAGAGAGAGAGAGAGAAAGAGAGAATTATGTGATTTTTCCTGAATTGTTTTTTATTGGATTTGTTCAACAAATAATACATTTACATAGTTATACATCTATTGTTTGTACCATGTTGTACTACAACATGAGACAAATGCCACAATGTCATAGATATGCTCTAAGTATTGATCTTTTCTGTTACCTGAGTAATAGGAAGCTGCTTTATATTGAATCAGACTATTGGCTTCCATAGGCCAGGATTCACAATACTGACTGGTTTTTCTTTTTCATTCTTGCTCCTCTAGTAGTTTTCTACTTGAAGGTGCAAAAGGTTGATGCTCTAATCTTGGTCAGCTCTTTTTCAGTATCTGAAATTTTGAAATGGAAAGGATTTAGGTCAGCTTGTCCCAGTTGGACTTGCATAATATTTTCAGCATCACTGAAAGAACAACCAGTAATCATCTGCATTACACACTGTGCTACAAACAAGGAATTGAAAAAGTTAGTTTTTTCATGCCAGAATTCTTTGGAAGACAGTAACTGCTGCTTTTCACGCAATAAAATATATTAATATGTTTTATGCAGCCAATAAGCACCAACCACCTAGCTCAGACCTAAAGTGCATCTAATCCAATCATCTATTACTAGATCCCTATGGGAAGCCCACAACACATGAGTATAATAGCATCTCTTTGCCCATGATCCCTAGTAAGTGGTATTTAGAGACATTACTGACACTGAATGTGAACATAATTTATTTTCACTGTACCTGGTAGCTATCAATAGCTATATAATTCATGAATTTGTCTAACCCCCCTTAAATCTGACAGCCATTGCATTTACAATGAAGACTCATAGTTTGGACTAGACAACCCACGCCCCAATGTTCATGGTTTCGCAGCTATTCCTTTACCTAAACAGAGAAACAGAATGACACAGGTTAACAAAAGAAGCAGTGGGAACAGGAGTGACTTCCACCTTCCTGCCGTTTTTCTCTACTGAAGGACCTGAGGAATAACAATTCCTTGTTTTATTGAATTGAAAAATAGTTCAAGAACAGAGGATATGAAATCTACACACACACCGTGTTAAAGTGCCAAATTTTTGAGATATAAAAAAAATCACTTCAGAATTTTTTCCACCTCTAATATAATCTATAAATAGCACAATTCAATTAAAAAACAAACTGAAATCTTTTAAGCGGAAAAAAAAAACATACAGTAATAATGTTTGCACAAATGTGCACATCCTTAAACTAATACTTTGTTGAAGCAGCTTTTGATTTTTATGACAGCATTTGGCTTTTTGCGGTAGAAGCCTATCAGCAAGGCACATTTTTCCCTGGGGATCTTTATCTATTCTTCCTTGCAAAAGTGCTCCAAATCTCTCAGATTTCAAGGGCTTCTCCTGTGCACAGCCTTTTTCAAGTCACCCTACAGATTTTCAATTGGATTTAGCTCCAGGCTCTGTCTGGACTACTCCAAAACTTTGATATTCTTCTGGTGAAGCCATTGTTTCCTTGGGTTTGGAGGTATGCTTTGGCTCACTTTTGTGTTGAAAGGTAAACTTCATCTTCAGCATTTTAGCAGAGACCTGAAGGTTTTGTGCCAAAATTGA